ATTGTTACACCAAAACTCATTTCCTCGTCGTGATGAGAATGAGCCCCAGTAGCCGAGTCACTTCGCGAGTTCTCGCACAGCACGACTCACACCTCGAGTCAGGCCTTCATTTCGTCCCAGGCCTTCGATCGAACTAATGCCTTCTGTCATCGGAGAATAACCAACGGAAAATGATGAGAGGAACTCCTGCACGATGGCACGAACCACCAACTGACCGCGAACGCTGTCATGGCTGCATACGAGACACTAGATCCATTGCGTAAGCCCATCAACATCAACAACACCATCACGTTCCTGGCAATGAAGCAGCATCAACAATAACAAAAAAAAAGACAACGGCACAGCCGCAGCATCAGACGAGGGGGTAAGAGCCTCGATCTGCCCTCGGCTCCCAACCCGAGACGTCGGGGACGAGAGATAATCACAGAGTATCCGTACACAACAAGATAACGAGAGGCTCAATTATGCGACACGGAGGTTAACCGCCAACCGGCAAGGTCCATAACGGCATGGAAAGAGGGGCAAAGCCGCAAAAGCCGCAAAAAGGGCTGGCCCAGAGCCTCAAGCAAAACAAACCGCAGCAGGAACACGGCAGAAGGTGAGCCGCATTCATTGTGCGACACCAAGTATTCGGGAAGAACCCATTTCCCCTCCGAAAGACAACCGCCTAAGCGTGCCTGCTCTCCCTCCTCCGAATCCCGGCTCGCTCGCGGGGGACAGCTCGCAAGGGGACGATGGGGATGAGGAGCCTCAGAGCCCTTGCACAGATCGCCAACGCATCTGATGCGACCGTAGGACCCGGTCTTGGCAAGCCCTTCGAGACTGCCCTGTGACGCCTCACAGCTGCCTCCGTTCAAGCGGGGCCCCCCGGCCAGTGCCAACCCGCTTCGGATCATCCGTAAATGCTATGCTCCCTCCGTTTCCTATCCTGATCCAAAATCTGCCGTATACATAAAAAAGGCCTGGAATAGCCCCCTTTTCTTTCGGGATGCGGGCGACGGACGGGATGACGAGAATCAACACAATTGGTTTCGTGGTAGGTAGTCGGGACGGGGAATTAGTGATGAAGAAAAGGAAGCTAATGTGATGCAAAATGCGTGAACGTCCCATGGGGAATCTGTAACCACACAGACAGCCGCGCCCCTTTCACGACTTCTTCCATTCTTCCCCCGCAAAACTCCCATATCAACCGCAAATCTGGTCCTCGGGATCCCTGCATCCCGACCGTCCCGTGCCTCGCCAAAACTCCGGACAGCCTCCTCTCTCTTCTCTTCTCTGTCCCGTTCCGTTCTGTTCTCTCTCTCTTACCCTCTCTCCCGGCCAGCCGAGCCAGACTTATCCAGCAAGAGGCTCAATGGTTTCGGTAAGCGGGTAACAGGGGGCAGACAACCACTCTGTCCCAAGACCTTACGCGCTGGCGCCCCCCCTCCCCCTTTTAGCCGAATGAAAAACCTCCGACCACACTGAGACGGCGAGCCCCGTTTGAGCGCAACTCAAACCGATAGAGCTCAATGCTATATCGTCCATCGCACGCCCGGTTGTCTCATCTATGCGCTGCCCTTCATTTTCCCCTCCGATTGTCGTCTTTAGGCGTACTTTACACTTCACCACCGTTGTCTTCTGCATTGCCTAGTTTTAACCAGTAGTCTTCTTCGCAAGCCCTCACGTAGGTAGTTCGTTACCTAAACTCATCTCAGATCCTAATTATTCCGCGTATCGGACCGCCAATATCCCCTCGCCTGATATCGATTCACTTGAGCGTACCGCGGCAAAGCACTCGCAAACCATCTCTACTCATCCAAGTACCGCAGAGTCTCAGACCACACTCCCATCAACTCCAGACAACCGCAGCTCCATCTTTGTCGCCATTGACAGCCCACATTCGGGGATCGGCATCAGCCCTGTCGCGCGGTAGATTGGCATTGGCGCCCATCTCAGCCGGTCTAGACAGATCGACCTGAACCATGGGCAATCTATCCGTACCTGTACTCCTTGAGTCTTTTTGACGTCTCGCCAATTTGGTAGTCCGGCAGGTTATAGTCAAGGACCAGCACGTAAACCACTATGTACCGCGAACCCCCTTAACCTCTGACAACGACGTCCCGTACAGATTGCAAAAAGAGCCTCAAGCGAGAGAAAGAGTTCCCATGGCTAGGTCCATGCCCTAGATCATGCCCCCTGTATAACGAACCCTGCCTCGTTGTCCCTCGCCAGAGAGGGCTCTGCTTCAAGAAGTGACTTGATCTCCGGTCAGTTCGAATACCAAGTTCTTGCGTAGCGTTTGGCTCTTCAGTCCACTCTCTGGGGATAAGTAGCCCTCGGTCTACCCGCTGACCTTTCTCCTCCGCAATTCCACGTGGTGTTCTCTTTCCTGCCACATACTTTTGCTGAACCTTTTCCTCGCCCAACCTTGTTCGCCAACATGTGCTCAGGTGAGCCACTGCGTTCCGCATCTTCCTCCGAATACACTTCAGAAGAAAACCTCCCGAGGAGCCCGGATACGTTCTCGGAAGCTGACGCTGTATTCGTTTGGTCTGCTTCGCCAAGGTAAATATTCGGAGGTTTAGGACAATGCCGTGTCCGGCTGGCGAGCCGGCTCCGTCTGGTATGATGAGCCCATTCTCACATGGGCAGCTTCCGCTTCCGCTTCTGTTTGTGAAGCCTCGCCTTGACTGAAGGCGCGCAATCGCGGCTGCTCGCCGTCGCGTCACGAGCAATCCACCTGATCAAAAACCACAGCGCAGATGAAATCGACGTCTGAATCTTTTCTCTCTCAGTTTCGCACTCCGTTCCAAGGCCGAAGCTCCGTACTCGGCTGTCCGTCCCAGGCTGACCCCCGTAGCAGCCCGCCCACGACACTTTTGCAAGGCCGCAAACCCTCCTCATCCACCCGGACCCCCGGTCCTTTCCCGTCTGCCTTTTTTCCTCCTTCGTAAACTACCGCCCGGCGCACACCTCCGACGTCAAACTTCAAGCTTCCCTTCGTCATATCCATGGATGAACAACTCTGGACGATCCGGAGTAGGGATGCGGCCTTTGTCCCAACTCTCCTCAACATAACGTTTGGCATTGCATTATATGCATTGATCTCGCGCTTGTCTGATACTTTTTACTGGACCCCCATCTGGCCAGCTTGACGAACGCCACGCCAATGCAAACATTGTTTGTGGTTCGCCCGCCCTTCCATTCGGCTGCTTCGGAACCTTCCCTGCACCTTTGCATTAGGGATCGACCGTCGTTCAGTCTCAGATGCTAAACTCGTCTCTTTGCCATCCATGCGGCAGAAATACTCGTGCTCGTTTCTGCCAAATCTCGTACCTCTATTTCTGAATCTTCACTCTCGTGGCAGGCCGCAGCCGGCTTCACGTGAGACGCAGCTTGTTGGAAGGCATCGTAGAGGTCTTCACGGCATGCAAGGTGCCTCAGTGCTGCTAGAAGCGTGTAGGAACATTGTGTTACCATGCAATCTCGCAGCATTCATATAAAAGATGAAGTTTTCAAGCAATCTGTGCAATGCCATCAGTCAGAGCTGGGGTTGAGAAATCGATGGATAAAGGGAAGGATTGCTTGTCATCTAGCAGCCACACTCGTCGTGCATTGGGTAGAAACACATGCCAGGTATATAGTAGTTGTATTTCCGGCTCAAACACCTGTCGTGTCCGAGAAATTTGTCTATCCCGGATCCATGACTACCGGCTAGCATCGACGGTGCTTCCCCAGATCATCATCTGCCCTATCCGCCAGGAGTCTCAAGACCCAGCACGGGGTCGGCAGACGCCTGATTCACGCTTTCCAAAACCTATCCAAAGTTAGCGAGACTCGGTATTCCCTGACAAACGCTGGATAGGATTCCTGTCTTCGTTCATGCCATTCCTGACTGCAAACTTACTGCATCTTTTGTCCTACACCCCACAAACCCTCCTGTTTCTTTTCTCCGTGTAGACTCTTAACCTTTATTCCATTGTTAGAAGATCAGGCACCGAGAACGAGACCTCACCCTGTCGTCGAGATCGAGTCACGTCGCCGGAGCGGACCATGCGTGATGAAATCATTGACACAAAACGGTATCGTGATATCTTATGCATGCCCCAGGGAAAATTCTGACCTTATAGCCTGCCGGAGGTTTACAATGTGTCGATGGCGTTTCGTCGCTGAAAGAGTCTTCGACAATACTCCGTGATGGAATCGGTGATTCTGACACCAGTACTTTACTACTGCTTCAGCCTGTCCCGCGGAAAGTTCTGCAACAATCGCTGGCAAAACAGCTCATGAACTTGGTCGCGAGGCCGTTTAAAGTCATCCGACCAAAATGAACGTTGGCCCTGATCTGGATGGCGTTCAGAAGCCATCTGGTTTCCGACGCTGAGACTACGGTCAAAAGCATTGTGCGCAAAGACCTGGCTCGGGAAGCAGCCGGTCACAGAAAATAGGCGTTCTCATGCCGCCGGGTCCGAGTCAGAGACTTCCTTCCCGTGGAAGATGCCAGTCGATGGTTGTAGCAGGCCCGGTTCGGATTCTCAAAGACAGGAAACGAACTCAACCCCAAGGCCAGTTCATCTGAAGATGTGCCGAAAGTAGGAGAAAGCAACGAGGTGTCGAGAAATGCGATGGACTTGGACACCGTCCGATATTGATGATACAGATTGGGTCTGGTCCTCAACGACACTGTCGAACCACCGGTTTCGCACACAGGGCATTCTACTCGAAAGAGGAAAAAGCATCGAAACTTCCTATTACTGCATCGACCCCCCAACTGGCGACTTTGCTGATCAGTCCAAGACCTCAGCTCTCCGTCAAAAGAACATGGGCCCATCTCCACCAACCACTCATGGAACCTTGACGCGCAGTTCGTCCCATTTGCATATCCGGACTTTGGCTGGGGAATGCTGCACAGAAGAAACGGGGTTTATCTGCAAGTAGCCACGCGACCATCTGAATAGGCCTTGGACAAGAACTCCAAAGCGCGGTAGAGATGGCGCCGAGATGGCGCTTCGCTTCTGTCAGATCTCTTCCATGTCTTCCAGGTCGTCCAGGACTGGCCAGTTGCCAACCTCAACCCGCTCGGGCCTCACAAAGACTCCGTGCTTCAGAGTCGATTCCTCGCCCCAATACCGCGTTCCGGCAATGCTGCCGTCGTTCTTACCAACGGGTTCATCAAGATGAACTCCGATCCAAGGACCCAGACCGCCAGGGATTTCCTTGACATCACCAACATACCGGACAGTTCCTCTCCGAGAATCTTCTCCGCCCACACGGCATCGTTTACCGACTTGAATGCCCTTTTGCTCGATTTCTTGCTGTAAAGCATCAATCTTGGCCTGCTCGTGGCTTGGCGCGTCGGGGTCGAAGCGACCGAGCTTCTGAGCCTTCTTCCAGGCCAGCACAGAATCGGACTTTTTGGCGTACTCCTCCTCTGGCATAACGTACTTCTCAACTCCCGAAGTATCGGTAAAATTCGGGCGAGCTCCCGCCGGTCGAGTGTCAGCCACCTAATGTAGTACGATCAGTAATGATTCACCTAGAAACGAGCATGGCTGGCCGGTTGCCTAAGGAGGCAGTAAGCCGTAAGTCTCGACAACGAGGCTCACAAGCCATGCTACTGCCGGAGGCAGGTAGTTAATCTCGGTTATCTCCGTGATAATGACTACAGATCACCCTTATAGATCCGACGGTGGCATTGTGGTCATGGAAAGGAGAAGCATGCTCGGAAGTCGACCTAGACAGCGAGCTGGGTGGCATGTTGAGACGAATAAGGGGGCTACTTACATGCAGCTCGGCGTAGGGTGCCAGGGAAAAAGCTGTCAAGTAGGCGCTGTCCTCATCGGATGCTTCAATCGGAACAGTGGCCGAGGCTGTTTTGAGGCTGATTCTCTGGGACGAGGGCGGGATACCGGTAATGGGTTCCAGCTTGGACCTCAGCTGGCTGATGGTCCATGATGGGGTGATGCGGCGCTCTGACGAGGAGTTTTCCGAAATGACATGCAGAGGAACATCGGCCATTGCGGGCAACTTGGGCTGGCTTCTGGGGCCGAATGGAACGAATGGAAAGAAATCAGGGCTAGACTATGAGGAACACGTGGGGCCTCGTCGAGCTTGTTGCGTATCTGGAATTCTGCGGAGGTAAGGTAGGCGAGGGAGTTTTGGTCGGAAGACGTTGACGAGCCGCGAAAGGCACGATGACGGCAGGGTTCTGGAACCGAACAGATTAGGTACCAACCGGGCAATTTCCTCTGGGCCGAGGAGGGGGCTGCACAATAGGGCTGGATGGGAACGAACCCGTTAGATGCCAAGTCAGATGCACGACCCAGTGGCTCTTGGGCTGCTGAGTATTGGGGTAGCAGCGGGGTGAACGGGCGTACACGATAGAGTAGTGCGTCGGTAGATTGCCCGGTGACGTTGATTGAGGTTGCAAATGTGTTTTTTTCCTCCTTCGGTCAGTGTCAGGCTCCAAGAACTAAGGTGCGGTCAAGAGAAGTTCAACCGTCGTGTGTGCCTGGACTGAAAATGAGGATCAGTGGGTGAAATCCGATCAAGAGCGAACGTGGAGGCGGTTCAAGCCTCACTTACCAGGAAGTGGGTAACGGAGGGGGTGTGAGACTAGCGCCTGACGGCATTGGCGTCCAGTCTCAACCTTCCCTCAAAGGCTCAAACCCACCAGCCAGCCGTGCCAGCTAAGGAAGGCAGGCTCCAGCCACAAACGATACGTACCTTGGTGTAACCCGTCTGCCCCTCCTCCTCCTCCTCCTCCTCCTCCTGCCTCCTCGTTCTTGTTCCATCTGCGGTGCCCGTCCCTAGGTACCTTACCGCTGGGCAATTGCTCCAAGAGGTACGGCGTACTGCGAGAGGTACTGTACGAAGTACTTCCAGTCGTACTCAAGCAGTCAAGCTCCCGCCCCCAATCCCTCCCAATCGAACGAACCAAGGGAAAGGGAAGCATCATCTGTAGGTACATACCTTACGAATGGGCTTCTCTCCTTCTTCTTCAACTGAGTTGATGACTTGTCAACCCATCCGCCACATCCTTTCTTGTCGGTGTTTCCCCCTCATTCGACCACCGCCTCGTCCTCATCCTCGCCCAACCTCTGTTCGCTCACCGCCACATGAGAACAGCAAGGCCAGAATGAAAAACAGGATTCCCAGTCTTTCAACGTACATCACCAGCCGTCGTTAGGCATCCCTGGGCAAGCCTGACTGGCGGCTTCGTACCAAGCATGGCGGCAGTTCCAACCCGGACACCAGGTCGGGGACATCCACGATACGACATATCCAAGAGACATGCCAACCCGGGTCTTCAGTCAAAGCTGAACCTTGACGCAGAAATAAGAATCTTGCTTCGTGACATTGTCACACAAAATCAGGTGCAGCCGTCCGAGACCGCTTCAGACAAGTTTAACCTTCGGCCGGTGGGAACAATGCCATTGATCATGATTGGCGAGTCGCCGTTTGCACTCCTCAATTACGGGAACCGTTTGGTCGGGAAGCACAACATGGCAACAGCGGCATCGATGCAGTCAAACGCCAGATTTCGCGCATGCAAAGCTCCGTCTCGTCTAGTCCGCTCCGGTCTAGCCCGCGGCCCAATTCTACCCAGGGTTACTTATCAGCACTTGCTTCACAGTAGTCATTGTGGCCTGACAAACGGATCTGGTGTACCTACGACTGCTCAGAAGATGCCAAATCATGGTGTGTAGGACCGGGAAGAGGCATCACCTCCATCAACCCTTCGAAGACAATGCAGAAGAAGCCTCTCGCCATCTCTCTTGCGTACGCAGACACAACAGCGAGCTCCAGGGTGCGTGCAGGGCCACCAGCACCGTGAGGATCTGACCACTGGTGAGGGACAACGCAAACGGATAAGATGAAACATCCATAATCATGTTCGTTGCAGAATCATGATAACCCACACACACCTGCCCGCGCACATACACACAACCATCTCAGGTTCAATCTGGTTAGTCGGAGCGGGCATGGGACACTTGCTCGCACGCAGCCGATGACAAGCTGCGGCAGAGAGCCTTCGACTCGGGATGGACAACCCCATTGACACACACACACACACACACACACAAAGCGCTTTCTTTTCGAGAACAATCCTTGACCTCCCTGGCGAAGGCAAGATTCGTTTTTCATGTCTATGCGCCCTGGTCACAAATCAATTTTCCGCGTCCGAACTCGACGAGACTGCATTGCAATCATCATTATCATCACGTTTTATTACTCTCAATGAGACTATTGATAACCATTGCCAGGAAGAAGGAACGACGGATTAAAAGCACGCCAAGCCGATTTTTTCGTCCCGCTTGTCATCACCATCATTTTTCAGGAGCTGGACAACCGAAGTCTGACGGCATTAACAGCCGCTGGCCAAGGACGATGTTGAGCGTTTGACGGACAAACCACCTCCACTACGCGCTAGATCTATCCTTGCTACCCGATCCGCCAGTGGGCTGCCGCTATGCCTAAGAAAGATCCGGTTCTGCAATGCTGGTTGCCGTTCACCGCCACGTTGGGTTTTGTTTGTGTCACCGACAATTTGGTGCTCAGGTCGAATCCTTTTCGAGGCGGTAGGAATCATCTACTGCAAGAAGACAAGGAGACATTGAGTAACTTCGTTCTGACCGCAAGCCCAACGACAACATCTAGGCAAAGGATGATAGGGACGAAGGAGTGCACATATCACGAGAGCAGCTTTTCTGCCCCAGGATAGCCTGAGCTTCACCAAACATTCACAATCCAACGCTGGACAATGGGCTACACGTCCACCTGTTGTGAGGAATATGCTCATCCATCTGTTCCTCTTCGCAGATCGCTTCATGACGTCGGTATCAGTCATGGTGCGGGAGCAACCAGAAAGGCAGCTCCGGGACAGGGATCTCCACAGGCGCATAGCCAGCGCAACACCTCTGGCTATATCACGCTCTGCTAAGGAGTCCGGAAGACGTACCGACTACGAAGATGGAAGTCCCCTCGCCCGTTACTACCCTTGCCCTTGTTTCCAATCTATTGCCGGGCCACCATGGGGGCTAGGGAGTACGATGTGCCTGCCGTGCCAGGTATCTGTAGCATGTCTCGCCTTTTATGATGGGATGAGAACCCGCAAGGCTGGGTTCCCCCTCGAGACGACCTCCTGCTAAGCAAAGCCACGATGCAAGGCCAGCAAACGAATGAGATTTTTTTGAAAGGGGGGCAGCGAGAGTGTTTCCCAATTAAAGTCCAATGATAGTATCCCTTTTGGACGTCAGCCCCGGGATGGAATGCAACCCTAGCCAAAAGGTGCCTGGTAGACTGGTGGGCGGCTACTAATTACGTCGAGGGCCATTTAATAGGCTCTCGAGTCTCAGTGCCACCAGGGCGGGAATCAACGTACATGAGCTTCAGCTCACTTGACTTGCTTAGTCGTGAAAGGACGACGACGGCGACGACGGCTGTGCAACATTCACGCAGCACGCGCGTACGGCCCATAGAGCAGTCATCATAATTCAATCAACAAGCGCCGCAAGCCATCGTTGATCAGACAGATATACAATAGCGTTGTGGCGCGCGAGTTGTTGATCTCTGCTGCCCTTCTCTACGATGTCGGGTTCGGTTACATTGTTTAGTGAGCAAACGCAGCAACAGACGATGACGCGTGCGTAAAACAATACCGTTTTCTTCCCCTGTTGCTGTTGGCGTTCGGACAACGACATGACAAACATGCCGAGCGGGTGTCGGGCCATTCTCACCACTTATCCTTTTCCCTATGCGGAAGGGTTTGGTTATCATCAATTTCCATGGTTCCCTTGTTTCGCAAGTCATGTAGAGCCCTGGTCCTTGATGGAGGAATCTGGGCGCGGAGCTGGATAGCTGGCCGAGGCCCCCGGTCTGCACACTAAGTCACCAGCCGCATGTATGTCATCTACCGAACGATACCTAAGGACCACAGCAGAGGGTAAGGGCAATCCAACGTCAGTGATATCGATCGGTCTCCTTGGACTTGCTCACCGCGAGCTGCGAAGACCGCAATGTTGCTGCTGAGAAAGGGCAAGGTGCGGCATCGCACCCGAGTCAAGAACATACAAACTACAAAGCCAGATGTTGGCGGCGGTGAGCAGTTCTGTTGGTTCGTTGTGCTACGTAAAGAATGGCTTCTAGACGGTGTGCCCTGGTACATTGATAGTTGGCGACGGTGCTGGTGTCTGCTATGTTAGACTACCTTAGGATGAAAGGGCAGCCCGAATCATCCTCAGGGCAGCCCTCCACACCCAATTGCCAGCTGACCGACACGTATTCAAGCACTTTTTTGACTATTTTTCGTGCATATTGGGTGCCAGCAATCTACTTTGGGCACGAGACTAAGTCCTAACCTGGGTAGCCAAAGTTAGCGTGTGAGTTTTGGACTGTGACCTCCCGAATCTAAGGTTAGTTGGCCAGATTGCGTGAAGCATAGACGGGGACGGATATACAGCGCTGAAAAGCCCCAAGTTAGTCAAACTTTGTACCTGACCTGGGCAGGTGGTATCGGCAGACCGCACTTGGAAGAAAAAAGACATTAGGGCGCTGACGGGAGTTGCTCGTTGTGCGTCGGGGACTAAGGTGAGGTAGTGTAGATGCCTCCCCACGTTGGAACTTGGGGTGTCCATTGCACGGACGGCCCTTTGCCAGTCTCGTACCGAACCTCGTCCCAAGGCTAGACTAAGGTTGCAAAGAAATTCCCCTAGCGCAATTGCCTTGCCAGGCCGTCGTCAGCAATGGAACGCCCGGAAGAAGCAAAGAACTGCGGCCCAAGGGTTGCGAAATGCGAAATGAGAAAAGGAGCATCCAGAGCTCTATGCGTACGGAGTATTGTCTAGCACAGTGGCTACCTCGGTGCCCTGCATAGAAGCAAGAAACATATCATATCCCAGGTACGTACCGATGATGTATATGGGTACCTCGGAGACTAGAGAAAACAGTAAGGGCGAGTAAGTTAAGGTTACAAGCCGGCCAACTCTCCCAGGTACCCTAAGCAGGTTTGGCCGTAT